TTGTCTCCTGCAATAGTACTAGATTCGGGTCTATTTTCTTAATGGCCTCTTTTATTACTGCTCTCTTCCAAGCACTTCCTAGCCCTCTAACATTCCAACTTATGATCTTCATTTAGTTGAACTCTTGACCCCTTATTCCTCTTACCCTCACTTATTCCCTTTCCTCCTGTCCCTTTTAACACCAAGACTACTCTCTCCTTCCACATCCTTTATCAATCTTTCAACTTCACTTAATTTTTTCCTTTTAGCCTTAGTTTCTTCTCCCTTTTTTGTAGAAACATTTTTAGGTCATTTAGATTTTTCACTTTAGATCCTAACTTCTGTATAAAATCTGCCACAAAATCCTCACTAGTCAACTCTCTTTCTTCTGACTCTCTATTCCTCCCTCCTTGTTCTGTTTCCCCACCTTTGTCTCCATTCTCCTTAACTCATATTCTAATTCCCTTTGGCCCTTCCTTTTGTTTATTACTCACACCTACTTCCTTTAACAAGCACTCAAGTATTTCCAGAATTCTTTTATTTCCTTTTGCTTCTTCCTCATTTCCTATCTCACCCTTCTGACCCTCCCTGTCTCCATTACTATCTCTTGCCCCATCTCCACCTTCAAGGGTAGCAGCCTTTGGACTGTGATCTATATTTGGCACATAGGACAAAGAGCCATTAGTATTACAAACCCAAAAGACACAGTTACCTGGGTTGATTTAGGGAAGAATGGGATTGCTGGAATTGAAGGCAAAGCATGTCGGACTCTAAGGTTGAAAGTGGGGTTTTGTTTCTCCGCCTGTTTGTTCCTACCTTTTGTACCCCCGTCTTGCTTCTGGGAAGTCTCAGATACTTCATTACCAATTTCCTGTACAACAAAAAGACTTGGAGAAGCGGCTTCTGAGAATGAGTCAGGCTTTCCACCGACAGCTTTAGAGAGATGTCCCACGTTGTTTTGAGTGTTTCGCTCTTTCCTGGCACAGCATTGAGGTTCCACAAGTTGCACTTCTTGAAACAGAGTTTCCAAGTTAAGAGTTGCGGCAATCTCTTCCTCTGCGACCTTACCGAACTAAGCACTGCCTATGCTAGACTGGCTTTCTAGATCTTCCTCCGCGTCTACATCTTCAGTATCACAATCTACCCAGCCTTCATCGACACCCTCCTCCACGTTACACTCTCTGGTGTATCTGGGATTTAGTCGGTCTGGTGAAGATCTTCCCACCCTAGGATCGTTCAAAGTTGTGCGAGAAACCCACTGTAAGGAGCTCGAGTTCCACACAGTCCTTTTGGAAGAGGTAGCAACTTCTCTGCAAGCCTTTTTCGAGGAGGAAGAAAATAGACGGTTACTATCGTCTATAGTCTCCTGCTGCAAACCCCCAATCACGTGCGCACTTAAACATGCACGTGGATTGGGGTTCCACCCAAAGTTTGAACAGGTCGAACCTCCGACTGGTTCAGATGCTCCAACTCGCAGCCCACTTCTTTTTTTAATCACGTCAGCAAAAGATGTGTTGCCTTTTGAGGTTATGCCTAATTCAAAATTATTTAAATTTTTTTCTTTAATTAGCTTGTGTGGCTTTTGGGCTTCCCCCATCGACTTTTCAGCTTCCACTTTAGGCCGACCTCTAGATTCAAACTCTCTCTCCACCTGTAAGCCCCTAGTAACCCAGCCTTCCACGTCAGCATCATCTTCAACCGTGGTGCTTCGACCCCAAAGCTCTGCCTCCAACTCCGACCAGCCAGACTTTATACCATATTCCATCCGCAAGAACCTCTATTGTTCTTGGGATCGAATCAAGTTTCACCCCAACCATCCTCACCCCAGCAGCTAGAAAGTCCTGCAGCTGAAATTCCTCCAATTCCCCTCCCAAGAGCCTCACGATATTTCCCACATTTGATTCATTCCAGAGATGAAATGGAAGTCCTACCAGTTTGAGCAGGAAGCTTCCACCAGGCTGTTCCATCTCATTACATAATGGCTTCCACCTTTGAACTTGGATCATGCCTTCTTCACATTCGAATGTAGTAAAGCCCCTGTTTACCTCATCATTAATTCTTAGTATTACCTTCCTTGCTGAAAAAGGTTTCAATGCAACCTCAGCTTCCATATTCAGATTAAGCACAACTAAATCTAGAACCCTCCTCCAGTCTTTTATCTCCTTGTTAACTGATATCACCAAACTACGCTCCCAGTCAACTCGTTCACCTTCCAGCCACAGCTTCAACCCAGTATTGGAGCTCAATATAACCTCTCCAACATTGTAAGATTTCTGCTTCAAGTGCTGCTCCGAACATTTCAGAAATGTGGAACTTTGTTCTATCACCTGCTCCACAAGTCTGTCGACAGAGACAAGAAAATGCTGCAGCTCTTTTATGAAAGCCATCCAACCTTGTGTTATTGTAATAACACAAGAAAATGCTCCACAAGTCCGTTTCCTGGCACCGAAGTATTCTGTTATTGTAATAAACCAGCCTTTTTCGTTGCGCCTCAGCTCCACTTCGAACCTCTTTCTTTCCATTTCTAACATTCCTCCAACTAGCAGTTCTAATTGATTGAAGTACACCATCGATAAAACCCTTCAACCATAGAACCGCTTCTTCGAACAAGAATATCGTCGCCTTCCTATATTCCCTAATTTTTAGCAGATTCTTACCTCTGAGTCTTCCACTCTCCAGTAAAAATTTCTTTGCTTCAATGTTTAAAACTGATTTCCGACTATTCACCACCTGGAAACCTTCTTCAGTTCTTTTCACCATCTTCAGTTCTTTTGCCTTCGAATCTCAGGAAAAAAACATCTTACAAACTCCAAATAGACTGAGAGCATGTAAGAATCTTAAGAGAGAGTAACAAAAGGAATTAATGTTTTTCAAAACTGGTTCTGATTTCTATTAATAAATTTACCTTACCTATTTCAAAAAAAAAAAAAAGGAAAAAGAAAATGACCATCAGGGGCAGATAGGACCAAGTGGATATCTTCCAAAGAACGAATGAGAGCTATAGCCTCCTCTAATTCCTAGTCCCTTAACCCTCTCCTAAGAGCTATGGCCACCGTAAAAGGTGTTTTTAGTAACTTCTGTGGACTTTTAAAAGAAACAAAGACGGACCTTATGCCTGAACACTAGCTACCTCAGGTGATGCAACTAAGAGTGACAGACGCATTGGATGTTCCATGGGCTTGAGCTGTTGACTGCTTGAAGCACTTTGGTATGATCTACATCTGTGATAGGTATATAATGGTTTTCTTGCTTCTTTCTTTTTTTTTTCCTTAACAGGTATAAAATTTGTATGTCTTCTATGGGTTTGGATTATGGCATTTTATGAACATTGAGTAGCAATGTTTTCAAAGAAATAAGGGTGGACCTTGGTGCAACAGTTGGGTTGCTTCACTGTGACCTAGGTGACCAGGATTCGAATCTTGGAAATAGCCTCTCTGCATGTGCAGGGGTAAGGCTGTGTACATCTGCTCCCCAGACCCCACATTGGTGGGAGCCTTGTGCACTGGGCCAGTGTTTTAAAAGCACAAGGCGCAAAAAAGGCACAAGGGCCAAGGCGAGGTGCACGCCTTTTTAAGAAAGGCGCAAAACTACAAAAAAGAAAAGCTAAAAATAAAAAAAAAGTCAAAAAATTCAAAGAAAATGCCAACATAAATTTTAAAATAAATGTTTAAAAAACCAATTATCTAAAATTAAAATACATAAACATAACATGTAAAGCATATTCAAATAAAAATTTAAAAATAAAAGCAAACATATAAAGCATTTTCAAGCATGTAAAACCCACAATCTCTTTTTTTCCTTAATTGCATTGCTTCAAGTAGCTAATGTGATGTAAAACATATTGCATTCTTGATTCTATGAGTCGCTTTTGTACCACGCCCCTTGAGGCAAGCCCGAACAAGTCTATGTTAGGGTTTGATATTCTTATTTCCCACATGAAAAATAATGATTTTATAACTTTAATTGCCTTTTAAGAATATATTTTATTGGAATGAACGAATGAACAACATTAGCAAATAGGGGGTTCTCAGAGTTTCGGTGAGTGAGCGAATATTTTTCATCAATAACGGAACAATTTTATTAACAACTAATTAGAAAATACAAGAGAAGAGGGCAAAGGAGTTAGCACTCGTCTTCACCCACTGAAATCTGAATCTCACTTCCATATTCTGGATGAGCCATTTAAACCTTCTTTTCTCATTTACATAAAGCCCGAATCTAGGTTCCTCTTTTTGTAGCCAATTAATCACCAACTTAGAATCGTGTCCAACAACCAGTCTACTAATATTTAGCTCTTTTGCTCTTTGAGCTCCTTCCACAGCGACCATAATCGCATCCCTAAGAGACCTGTACCAATTGGTCCTGAGCACAATGCAACAACTTTCCTTCATCTCTGAAGACACCTCCAATACCTGAAGGACCCAAGCTACCTTCACTATTCCCATCAAAATTCAGCTTAATAAGACCTGCAGCTGGTGGGGATCAAAGAGGCCTGATTTCAGCCTTAAAGGGGGCTGAGCCAGCCACACCCTTCCAATTGCTAAGTAAAGCATCCGTAGAAATATCCTCGAAGGTTTCTAAAGATTTCACCCACCGCACCACTCTGATAGTAATAACTTCAATAAAAGCTTCCCTTCTTCTCACTCTTTCCAAAAAAATTCTCAGATTTCTTTCTTCCCATATTGTCCAACATACAGTCACTCTAGTGCATCTCCACAGAATCCAACCCCTCTTCTTTGGCCATCTGACAGAAGAGGAAGCAAACAAGCTTTGTATATCCAACGGAGAAATCCACCTACATCCAAACAATGAGAGAAACCATACCCAAATAGACAGAACAAAGGAGCAGGAGATTAGTAAGTGACAGCAAGTCCCCATGAAATAACTTCAATAATGTTTTTTTACGGAAGCCCTTGAACTTGTATTGCACCTCTAGGTTTTAAAACACGTGTATTGCACCTCTAGACACTGGCTTACACATAACAAGTTATCTAAGCAAACAAAAGAACAAGCATAAATACCTCCTCCAGCATCCAAAAGCATTTTCAACATGGAACGAGGACCCAAAGTAGTACGGATGATGTCAGCAACAGACTGCAGCAAAGAGAAATTATATCAAATATTCGAAATTATATCAAATATTCTACATTAGAAGAGAGCTGGGAAAAAAGATTCAGAGCAAGTACAGATAAGATGTATGTTAACCCTGAAATAATTTCTTACTACCCCAACTTATGTCCTTTTAGACATGGCACTAGCTATTCTAGAACCATTGACTTCTATCAGATTACTTCTTATTGATACCGTAGTTGGTCTTCCACATTCATGCTGAAGCCACATTACCCATTTTCTCTCATTTTATCACCTATGAGGAACACTACTAGATCCTAACCAATATTAGTTTTTCCACTAATTCATCTCAACATTCTCATCTCTGCTATGCTCTTTAATGGATGTATCTTTTAGGGAAACTTGAAACTGTGTTCTCATGCTTGTCAGCCTGAGAGATTTAAGTGTTACAGTACACAAAGCAATGGCCCTTTGTTAACTTTTATTAGATAGTAATAAGAAATGGTTTTGAGTAGCATGTTTATATTTATGTTTTATTGTTATTGCCAAGTACTGTAATGAGTGTTTAATTAGGGGTAGGTATTTTTGAAAATAAATATAATTACTAACCAGAGGTATGGTTGTAGTTTTACTTTGATTTAAGAGTGGGCATGCATGTAATCTAACTGCCACCATCTGTATAAAGGAGTCTAAGTTGATAAGTCCCATGGTTTCTAATTCTCTCTATTCTTTTTTCTTTCCTTTCTCCTCTCTTCTCTTCTCCTTTTCTTTTTTCTTTTTTTCTCCTCTCTCTCTCTCTCTCTCTACTGTTTTATTCAAGATGACTGGAGAATTAGAAGAGGTTTAAAGACAATTATGCTAAGCATCAAGAGGTGATGATTCCTAGCTCAGATTGCAAATCTCCAGGCCTAGGCCCACATCAGGCCTGAAAATACCTTCTACCATCAATGATCTGATATTGAGTTCTCATGGCCTATAGACCTAGAGTAATGGCTAAGAGATCATGGAAATCTCTAAACACCCCTCCTATACCTGATGTTCCTGGGTTCCACATGCTACAATTGTCAATTTAATTTGATTATATTAGAACAAGGAAGAAGACATCATCACATAAAATTTTGTATTCATTATGTTACAAAATAGTGTACATGAGAGATCACAGGCAATTCTAGGAAACAATGGAACACTTTAGTTGCCTAGTCACCTAGGCAAGCGTCTAGACAATAGAATATTACAAAAAAGAACTAAAGTTTAGGTAAGTTCCCTAGCTTTATATACCAATCAGCATGCGTGCAAATTGGGAAAAAAAAAGCAATTCTCTTTACTAATATTATTTTTTTTCTCTCAAAACATAGCAAATCGTTATATCTAAAAGACAATAGTATTTTAAATATATTAATTTCAACATTAAAGAACTATAATATGATAAGTATTTAATAGGATAGGCAATTTCATGTTAAAAATAGCAACTTAAGAAGGCTATAATTTTATACTAATAAACATTTAAGATAATAGTGTTTTGTTGAGATAATTTAATATTCTTGGTTGCCCTATTTCCACTTGGCACTTATCTTATCTTGGCCTAACCTTAAGCAGCAAACCTAGTATTCATAGTTTTCAAGGCACCAAGGCGAAGCTAGGTGATAAGGGAGCACCTTGTTTCCTAGTCATCTAGAAGTGGGTGTACTGATCTACTTTTATTGTTGCTGTTATTTTTTCTTTCATAGCTACTATTATTGGAATGCTATAGTGACGTGATTAGTAACCACGAAGTGTATCTGCTCAACTCTACCACACATGCCACATTTCTGTCTCTTCTTAACAAGAGACAGCTTGTTAAGAAGAGGTGAGCAGATCCAGGATCAGTCTTGTGGCATGTGTGGTAGAGTTGTTAAATGTGTGGGTCATCTTTTCATTCATTGTCCATTTGCTCAAGCTTCTTCGGTTCATTTCTTGAAGTTGGCTAGGCTCTGTTGGGTTATGCCCTGGTCACTTATTAATCTGTTATCCAGCTGGCAGCAGCAAGGCATGAATAAGAAAGGGAAAGCAGTGAGATGAATGGTGCCTGCAATTGTGGTGTGGTCAATCTGGGGCTCTAGGCTGAAAGGAACAAAAGGATTTTACTTACCAAATGCAGAACAATGGAGGAGCTTGGTTCTTAGTTTTCTGCAATTAAGGGAGTGGCCATCTGTCCCCTTGGCAGTCTCTTCAGTGTTTGATATATAGATGATGCATTAAGTGTGTGTGTGTGTGTCCTGGTGTTACAGTACGTAGATATCTGGTTATCATAGATACAGATGGGCAAAACCCACTATTGCTATACCCTAGACCTATGGGCTACCAATCTCAGGTCTCCCTACCTCTTTTTTTGGAAGGATAAAAATAAAATTTTATTAAAAAGAAAAAAGGAATACAACAGAAAAGTGATAAGACATCACCCGAAGGGAAGACCCACATCCAAACAACCCCAAGCAAAGACCAAAAAAAAAAAACCCAAGAGAAATCACCAGGAAGCAAAGACAGCCAGCCCAACATCTGATCAGAAACACAAGCCCTCCTCGCACATTGACTCAGACCTTAAACTTCATCTACGAGCTCATCCTCCTGGCTTGAATCATCTTCGTCCCAAACCTTGCCTCCTTCCAAATGACCTTTTTTGTTATCCTTCTCTTGCCATCTCCTCCTCTCAAACTCTTCAAAGGCCATTCTAGCAAACGCCTTACCACCCCAAAAAAACACATCTAGGCTCTTAGGCTCTAACCAATTGTGACCCCTCTTTCCACTACTGAAGAGTCACACATCCTGAACTACCGACATTACCATCATTATTTTGCATCATCCAACTCACACCAGAACCAGAGTCAACACCACTCATTTTGTTATCATGTTGCTCTTTCCCCAAATGGGGACCAATGGCTAAACTTACAGCATTGCCCCTCTATGATCAGTACCTACCATTCCATTACCTTAGTTCTTTTCCTTTATAAACCCATTTGTAGTTTTTTGTAGGTCCTACCCCTGCCAGACCAATTTTTAGCCTGGAGAAGATCTTTGAAACGTGCACTACATTACAATTTCTCGAACGTGGTTTCTTACTAATCACCCCATTAATTTGTTTCACCTCCTTTTCTTCAGACTTGCTCCTTCGACCCAAATCAATACCCACCCTTCCAGCCTTCACTTCCTCAAACTGAAAATAGTCCTCAATGTAACTCTCAACCTGACCCCCAGCGGCTCTGTATTCACCTGTAACCCCCTTTCCTACAGTCTCACCGTCAATCTCAGCCTCAGCACCATTAATGGCACTAGAGGAATCCGCTTCCAAGATCAACAGAGCTAGACCTCCAGAGTCATGTTTGATCTCAAGAGGTGTACATCAACTGAAACCCCAGGTTCAGCAGAGGCACAAATCACCTCAGACTCTCTGCCAACCTGAGAACATTGTTGAGAATCATCATCTGCTGAAGAAATTGGGCACTCAACAAGATTCATACTTGTTCCATCAAAATCCCCTTGTTACCATTCTTATCATGCTTGGCGATCACCCACAACTACTTTTCTCCTTTTCTCTTTCTGCTTCCAAGCGAGACACTTCTACTCAGCGTCCCACCCCTTTTAAAGTTTGGTTTGTTAAGACCTAACAACTTGCTTTTGACAACTATAACCTTCTTGCTCTGATTTTTCTTCTTGTCTTGAACACATCAACGTTGCTAGCTTGACCTTCATTTGATACTCCATTTGGACGAGACAAAATCTTCGGGCAAGTACATCGTTCTGAGGTAGACGAAGATAGGCATGAGTCACATAGAAGAGGCAAATCATCTCCAGTCGGGTTGCTCGAAGACCTCTCCACTAAAGCCACGTGTGACGTAACTAAAAAATAAATCACCTGACCTGGCCCTAAAACCAGGTCCACTCTTGGACTCAAGTCGGATCAGACCACCTATGATTAGGCCTTAAAATATCTTGTGGTCCAACTGCTTTGGCTGACGTGGCCTCGCCCATTATGGCCTTTTCGTTTTCATGTAAATTTGAAATGTAGACTTTATTAGGCCTATCCTTTCCTTCTGATCCGCACAAGGACTCTTCATTTCCATGGGTAGCGACACAAAATTTTACTAGAATCAACATATTCCCCAATGAACACTACCAACTCTATGTGGAATACAATAGATAGTTTCCATGGCATACATATTCCCCAATGAACACTACCAGCACTATATGGAGTACAAGAGAGTATTATAACATAAGTTGGTGATGACATTTTAGATATGTCGAGTAACAATGTTGTTGATCGCCTAACTTACATGACCACTTTGAGCTAGCTCAATATTCATTTCAAACATGAAGTTAAATATTAGTTTTTCTTTGTGTAATAGATTAGTTTTTTTTTTTGATAAGTAAAAGATTTTGTGTAATAGATTAGTTAGTTGATATATTACACCATTTACATTTTCTATGAATTCAAACTTTGTTTTAACTCATTATATCATGAAGCTTTGAATCTTAAGGTCTACAGGGCAACTTCTAAATGTATTCTTTTAACTATAACCTTAGTTTCTTAGCTTTGTTTAGTGATTTGGAACAAGATAATAATTTAAAAGGGTGTTCCTATGCTTCCAACATGTTTCTTATATTTGGACAAGCAACATTTCCACTAACACCAACATTTTAAACCTCGAGAATAACATCATCTTCTACCTTAGAATCTTTCAGCCAAAGAGACCCTTCAGCTTCCATCAGGACCCAGACCTTGAGCCAGAAGCCATCAACGGACAGATCTCCCTATCCCTTCCCTGGCTAGAGAATCAGAAAATATTGTTTTCTGATCTAAACAACCATCCAAATGAGTTTTTCAGTATGGAGATCAGCACCATAGATTCTCTAATGTGATGATGTAAGAGTTGAGGAACTTCACTATTTATCTTCCCAAGGACTCTATTATGTCATGTGAACTTCTCCATTTCTAGACTTTTCTATCAACTACCTGAGTAGAAAGCGAGCTTCCAATTTCTATGATTGATCTCCCTGGCATAAAGCCAAACTGACTTTCTGATATACTTCCTTCGTAACAAAATCTTTGTTTAATCGTTTTTTTCCAAATTTTCCTGTTCTGATTTATAAACATGAATTGGCTGAACTGAATGTCCAGTGATACATTGACTCGTAAGCTTGACCTAATCATGAAATTGAAGTGTTCACAGTGTACCAATGAACTTTGTATCAATGATCACCAATTGAATACCTAAATCATTAAAACTCGGTGCAAGTAAAAAGCTCTAAGGAACAAGGGAGAGGCAAAAAGAACATAGGTTTGATAATGATGGACACCTTTACTCGCTGTTTTGCAAAATGGCCTTAGATAGAGCAGAATAAAGGAACATGGTTCAACCACATTTAGGTAGAAAAATCATATATATGGTGTTACTTTTCCTATATAGAACATGCTATACTAGTTGAACTTGAAATTCAATAACATCAGAAAGAAACCAAAGAAAAAGAATTCGACTAAATTTAAATGAATATGACGCATTGGAGCTCAGTGGAACTGGGTTGACTCATATGCATCAATTTTAGAATTAAACTTCACCTTTGATGCCTGAATATTTGCATGGTGCACCTTACTTCCAGATTCGCACTTCAAAGAATCCTCTGTCCAATCAAATTCATGACAACATCAGACAAACGATTGGATAGAAAGATGATGAAAAATGACTAAAATAAACTACAGGCACTCATTGACAAAAATACAAAAAAAAAAATGTAGACATTCAAAGTTCAACAATACTCTGATTTAAAGTTCAATAAATAAAATGCCCCAAAAAATATCCTAGGTGAAGCAGCTAGAACTATGGTGTAAAGTTTTCCACATAGGAGAATAATAGACATATAATGTGAAAAAACATATAAGGAAGATGATTGATAAAAAATGTCATCCTGCTGCAATACCAGATGAACTAAATCATAAAACAAAGTACTAAACTAAGAAAAGTTTCTTTCTTTTCAGATTGATAGAATTGAGAAGCAATACGAGGAGTTCAGCTCCAGAAAGTTTCGAAGTTCAAACAAATACCTATCAGACCATGACACTGAACCTAAACACATGGGCAGTCTTAGATGCATTGTTGCAAAACCAATTAGACAGAATATACATGAATTTGTAGAAGTACATGCATTCTTAACCAACATTTCACTAATGAAGCTTGTCTTGCTGTCTGACGCGACCCACCCTATATCACCTTCTCAAACTAAATTCCAAATCTTTCTGGACATCAGGCTTCAGTCAGAAATGTCGAGACAAGTGAGAGGCTTGAGGTGCAGCCTTACTCTTAAGAATAAAGATCAGAACAATATGAAAAAACAAGTGACCACTAGTAGAGAGATTATACACAATTACAAAGGTGCTGAGAACAGAGAATCCCTGTTAACCCCTTGTTCTGCAAGAGAATCAGCCATCAAATTAGCCGATCTTCTTACCCGGATCTTCACTATCATATTGTTAACCAAAACACCTTCTTAAGAAGATCTCTTAAACCCCAAACAGTTGAATCCGGATCCAACAACCATCCCACAACAACCTGGGAATCACCTTCAATTATCAGCCTTTCTATACCAAGTTGACTGACTAGCTGAATCCCCTGTACAGCAGCTAGTAGCTCTGCTTTGGTGAGTCTCCTAAACCAAATGGGCCTGAGAATAATGCTAAGACATTGCTGTCCTTAACTCCTTATCTCTCAAGATTCCTCCTATGCCAGAGGGGTCAGAGTTACCTTAGCGGCTGTTTGGCATTGTTGTCGTTTCCTGGAGCAACTGTGCCACATCGGAAAAAACGGTGCTCCAAAAAACGGGTATTTGTTTGGAACCGTTTTTTCATAAAAATGGTGCTCCAAGCCACATCTCGAAAATCAGGAAGCCATGGCTTGGAGCAATACCAAATTTGGCGTTTCCTGGAGCTGCAGCTCATTGCCGCCAACAGGGCAGTGATGTGGCACTAGATAATGGGTACCAGTGCTGAAAATGCTTCCTGGAGCATTGGTACCAAACAGAAAAAGTTGTTGTTGCTCCAGAAAACTTCCTAGGTGGCAGCAATGATTCCAAACAAAAATAAAGGCACCGTTGCAACATCAATGCCAAACATATACTTAGCTGCTCCCATCAAAGTTTAATTTAACAAGGCCCTTAGGAGGAGGGACCCAAACTGCAACATAACTCTGTTTTGAGGATGAAGTGCTAGCCACCGTTGATCAGTTCATCCAGAAGTCATCGAAGGAAAAAAAACTGGGATAAGTTTGTTATTCCCAACCAGTGTATTGCCTTTATTAATATGCAGTCCTTCAACTCAGAAAAGCGTATTGTTGAAGATTCTAGTGTTCCTTTCCTCCCAAACAGTCCATAAGGAAGCTGCCCTAATGCCCTAATGGACCAAGATGCCCTTAGGTTACCAGTTGATAACTACATTACCAAACACCTCCAACATAATCACAAACAAACCACCCACCTTTAAGTATGAAACTTTTTTTGGGTAATAAAATATAATTTATTAAGTAGAAGAAGGAAATTATAAAGCAGAGTAACCAGTGGTCACTCGAGAGAGGAGAAAAAACAAACTTCAACTCCCACACAAACACTCCAACCCAACCGAAACTTAAAAAAAAAAATGAAAAAGAAAAAACAGAATCCATGTAAATACGTAAGTTGACTGAGGGAAATGTTATCCAATAATAACGTCATAAAAATCCCTTAAATAGTCTCCTATATACAGTCAGGTGAATCAGCATTAAGAACCACTAAGCTTCTACCAGAACTATCAATGTCATTAAAACCGGCGATTAACACTGAAAAACAATATATATATATATATATAAGAAGTGTGAACTTACTTAAAACAAGAACGGGAGCATGCATGGCCGATCCTCTTTATAATCTCTCTGGAACCTATAAGTATTGACAAGTTAAATTCAAAGAAAATATTAAAATGTATTCGTTGTGATTGAAATAGCATATATATGAACAAAAAAAAAATCGAAACCATTCTAAAAATTTGAAAAGGATTGGAGAAAAATACAATGAGAGTCTCGCTGCTCTACATGGAATGAGGAAAAAAACGTACAAAGACAGACCCTCAGAAAAGATAAAAAGAGAAAACACGACGAGTGACAATGAAAAAGTTGAAAGAGATTCGTGAGAATGGTTTTGAAGAGGGGAACTCGAGGCTTGTGCGATTGCCTTCGTTCCTTTTCGCGAAGCTACTCGAGAGGATGGTTCGAGAAGGAAAAAAACAAGGGTAAATTTCTCCGTTAACTTTCCGATACACGTGATATCAGGCGAATGATATATTTATTAAAATTCCTAAAAATTCCGTTTCACATTCATTCCTACAAATACCCTCTGACTTTTGTTCCCAAATTACCGTCCCTACAACCTTTTTCTTCATCACTTCTTTATTTATTTCTAACGAAAACCTAGGAGTAGAGATGTTCGGACGAATAGATATTAGTTTCAACATTCTCAGTTCCGACTAGTCGTGCAAATTGGGCGAGTTTTAATCCTGTCCAACCCGTCCAAACCCATTAATATTATACTTACAGACTTAAAAAAACAAACTAACTCTCTTTTAACAAATAAGTTGGTCATAGCTTGATGGTAATAGTAGTTACTATTTACACAAGTGGTGAAGTTTTAAGTTGCATTACATGCATGTTATTTTTACACAAGCGGCGAAGCCATTTGACTATGTTCAGATTTCGAGTTTGACCAAACCACTTAGGTTTAAACCGGTCGGACCGTTTGGATCTGTATCAGTCCCGAATGGACTGGACCGATCTAGTCAGTGGTGGATTGACTTGAACCGGTCCATATTAGGTTTGTGCACGGGTTTTGGACTAAACCGATTAACTCAACATGGGTCAACGTATTGGTCTGGAATCGAGTCGAGTTGTGTGGGTATTGATCGAATCAAGTGATTCGAATATGTCAAAGCATACGGACATTGAATCATCCTGCCCGAAACTGCTTCGAATTTAGGTCGACCCGAGTTAATTCAGACCTGTTAAATCGGGGTATGTGGGCAATGTTGGGCCGGACCATCCCACACAGGTCTATTTCGGATTTAGGTCAACCCGGATCAATATACGCTGGATTGGGGTCGGGCCACGTTGAACTGATTTGGACTCAGGTCAAATTGATTTGGATTTATGTTGGGTGAAGTGTGTTGATTCAAGACAAAACTAAATTTAGTCAAATAATTAATGCATCAATTATGAATTATTTAATTCAAATAAAGAAAAAAAAAGCTAAGAAATTAATACTTGTGTCTGTAATGGTTAACCCAATGGTTATCCACAACCCAACCCGTTTAAATGGGCAAGATGGGTGATGGGTTGATCACACAACCCGCCAAATAAATGGGCGGGTTAGATAGCAGGTAAGTTGGGTGGGTTCAGCAGGTTGGGTGAAAAATTGCAACCCCTAGTTCCGACCAAAACCCATGAACTAAGATCTATACTAAGGCTGAGATCTTAGTTCCAACATCCTTAGTTTCGTTGAAAACCCAAAAATCATGCAATACCCGCAATACCCTCTCTTTTCATGCTACCGTTGATCCCAGTATAACTAGTTGTTCTTAATGCTCTTGGATTTTCAAAATATTGCTCTTGTTTGTAACACCTTTTTTCAATAAAAACAAAAAACAAGAAAACATTTAAGATGGATTACTCTCACTTAAAAGCAATGGTGCTCTACCGAGAGAGGGGTGTGTACTCCCTCTGGTTTTGGCTGCAGCCAAATCAAATTCCGACAGGTTCCAGAGAAGAGAACATAACCAAATAGAACGAGAGGAAGAGGGAGAGATCTACAGAGATGTCGATCCCAGTTCCAACGAAGAGAACTGAGTGTATATCTCAGTTCCGACAGCTTCTAGAGAAAGAACGAGAGGGAGAGGGAGAGGGAGAGATATACAGTTATGGCCGTAACTGGAGCCTTACTGTTTCCTAATGTACAGTTCCGACAGTTCTAGCGATTCCGAGAAGAAAACAAGAGGGAGAGGGAGACATCTGAGAGATCGATTCTAGAGAAGAGAACGAGAGGGAGAGGGAGAGATTTGAACATCAAAACTGCTGAATTTGTAGATCTCCCAGATCTCTTCCTCTCCCTCTCGTTCTCTTCTCTAAAACCGCCGTAACTGGTAGAATCGTAGATCTCTCAGATCTCTCCCTGTCCCTCTCGTTTTCTTCTCGGAATCGCTAGAACTTCCAAAACTGTAGATCTCTCCCTCTCCCTTTCGTTCTCTTCTCCAAAACCACTGGAACCACCAGAAATGTAGATTTTTTCAAATCTCTCCCCCTCCCTCTCCCTCTCGTTCTAATCTCTAAAACCACCAAAACTGCCGAATCTTTAGATCTCCCAAATCTCTTCCTCTCCTTCTTGTTTTCTTCTCCGGAACCACCTGAACTAAAGCAAAGCAGTTCCAGAGAAGTGAACTAAAGGAAGAGGGAGAATACACTTTTTGAAAATTAAAAAAAAACGGAGGGTAAAATACTCATTTTCATATTTCTATTCACACGCATCCGTAAGGGCACACTTGGTCAATTAGCTAAACCATAAGGGTAGTTTAAGAAATTTACCTAAAAAACAGAAGGGTTAAACTTAAATTACCCTTTTGGACTTATGGTTTAGCAAATGGATACAAACCTACGCTAATGTTTAAGAAATTAGTTAAATACCTAGACGTTTCTGAGAATTAACATAGGAGTGCAAATAGATCGGATCGGGCCGATCCGAGATCCGATCCTATTTTTGTCAAATTCGGATGATCTCTATCTGGATTTTTGGATTGGATAATATGATCCAATCGAGAATCGGATTGGATTTGGAACACCCCCTGTTCAATTCAAGAATATTCGATCTGATATATATTATATATTTATAAATATAAATACCTATAATACACATATATATATGTTATTTATTTATTTTTAAATATACTTTTATAAATTTATTATATTATTTATTTTTTTTATAAAAAATATGTATATATATGATGAAAATAATTAAAAAATACCAGTATTTGTTGTTTTTAATTTATTTAAATTATTATATTTTATTTTTCTTTTAACAATTTATTAGTTTTTAAATAAAACAAGCCAGATTTGGTCAAATCCGAATATCCGACTTACCAATAGGATTCGAATTCAAATCGAGTCCTATCAGATCCGATCAGATCCGACATGAACAAGATCGGATCGGATTCGAATATACCCCGATCTGAATCCAATCCAATCCATTTACATCTCTAAATGAACAACTATTAGGAACTCGTAACAAAAAGACTGAAAAGAATACTTTACCCTTGATTTTTTTTTTCAAATTTTCAAAATATAATATTTCTTTTGCGTCTAGATCAACTTTAACAACTCTACTAGTGGGCGGGCCCCTACAAAGAAATATGAAATTAAATTATGCAAAAATAATAATAGAACAGAAGAAGTGATAATGTAAAATAGTTGTGTTGCATGTAGATGCAGTCCTAGTGTATCTTGTTAAAAGAGTTCAATAATATAAATAGTTCAACAAGTAAATAAATGATTCAAAAACATAAATAGTCCAAGAAGTGAAGAAACGATTCAAAACAAAAGCAGTTCAACCATTGAAGATTCTGGTCCCCACGGGAAACTTATTCCTGTCAGGAATTGGAAATGGAAGATAAATTTTATCTCCAACAAAGATCGAGAATGGGAATAAGGGTTAATTTCATAATCGAGGGTTGGGGCGGGAAATATGATCCCTACCGTGTTGTTATTCCTAATTATCTCTCTCACAATTTAAAGATCATTATTCAAAAAATTTAGAAAATATTCACCATGGGTTAATCATGTCAATTGTCGTTGGAGTATATGTGGCATTAATAGGTTTAATGCATTTATTACAAAATAATGTGCAAGAAATTAAACTAAAACAATTGAACAAAATTAAAACAAAAATATTAAAAAGAAAACAATAATACTACAAAATATGAGTAATAAGTATGAACGAAATTAATAAGCTTAATGCATAACTTCTATACTTATTCCATCATGCAATTGAATACAGATATTGGGGAAGAAAAATGTGAATTAAATTAAATTAGGAAAAAAAATAGCCACCTAAAAATAATGGCGACCTAAATTGACCATCATTAATTGTCATTTCAAATCTGTACAGTTTAGGTGACACGTGTATGCTCCAGCTAGTGCCACCACCCTCAACCCAAGACAGCCAATTGCTGACCTATTCAAATTGCTCGCAATCTCCCCAGATGGTCAGACTCTCTGTCTTCTTCTTCTTCTTCCCTTCCCCTATATTGTTACAATTGTAGTTCCTCTCTCTCTCTCCTTTAGTCTCCCTCCCTCTCTCCCATGCTCTCTCATTCTTCTTCTTATTCTGTTTGATCTTAGTAAGGGTACCTCCGCCAACAACCGCTCCTCTCTCCCACTCTCCCTCCCTCTTGCTCGCACACTCTCTCTGTTCGATCTGCTCTATCTCAGTCAGTTTCTCTCCTATCTTAGTCAGTCCTGATGTCAGGCCCCCAACTCAAGACACCTGCGGAGGTTGGAGGGGATTGTAAAAGGTAAATTATTGTATAGAAAAAAATTAAATTTGTGGATAACAACAAATTTAATTTAATAAAATAAAACAATAAAACAATAAATAAATAGATTTTTTAGTTTTAAAGTCAAATTTATATAAATAAACCAATTATGTTGTTAAATAAAAAATACACATCTTTTTTTTCAATTTCCTAGCCAGACTTCAAACTTTATATCCCCGGGCCCATGATCTAAGCCCGATGGTATAATCATGCTCAAGTTTGGCCGTGAATATGTTATGTTGGTATAAAAGCAAAGTCTAATGTCGCTTGTGAATAGGTTCAATCCCAACTCTAGGGGTGGAGTAAAGGCAATTGATGTGGCACGATCCGGACACTCCTAGCCGGCTGTTGACTGGCTCCTTGTTGGCAACGAGCGGCACCTGAGAGGATGAAAGGAAAGATTCCCGGGGATTTGCCCGGTGGAAATACTCCGATGCTTAAGTTAGTACTGTGTATGGGAAGTAAAGAGAGAAACGAAGGCTAAGAGTGGAGGTCGTGCTTTATCACTATACTCGAGAGATTAGAGGTCTCCAGAAGAAATTTATCCTCTGCCCTGAGGGCTTTTATAGGGGCGCTCTTGCGAGATCGAGCATAACCGCCACTGGGTCCCTGCCACAGCCGTTACCTGCTAGGGCTGCGCAGGTGGCCGTTGGGACGTACTCCTTACTCGGGCGAGTGACACGTCCCTAAAGTGACAGGCATCCCTCCGCCTACCAAGAGACGTGGGCGCAGACTGTCGAAAGGACAGGGACTGCGCCGTTAGTTAGGGACGTGGCCCAGTCTGACTGGTACGGCTTATTAAATAGGAGCTTCCTGAGGAATGCTCGTGCGGCCCATTCGTGAGCTACTTTGCAGCGAGCTTCG